TCTCTCTCAGAATTCATCTCAGTGAACTGCTTGACAAGGAAAATGTCCATGCTACCCTAAAAATTATAAGGTAATAAAAGGAACTATGGATTGGTGGATGAAGCTCATTTTTACTGAGGGCCCAGAGGAACATGGGGCTGCAAAGTGATTCACCTACCTGAATAATGATTTCTAGGGGAAAAGAAAGGAAGGAAGACACATCAACATAAGGGGGAAATCTCCCTAATTTTTCTGGACTGTCAATCAACACAAGGGAAATGTGTCCATCTATATTTAACTGGGCTGTTTCAGAAGAGGATAAAAAGTTGTACACACATGCGGACGCAGAGGGGGATGACTCAGGAAGGCGCTTCCTCCAGTAGTGGTTTCCTCTAGTAGTTGACCCACCCTTCCTTAGAGAGTAGGACTGTCTCTTATTTGGGGAAACAGTGTACCTAGACAAGCATATATGAGGTCAAGAAAACATCTCTGCTTCATAGAAACCAATAAGTCATCATTCGTTGCAAATCCAGTAAAGTTTCAGCAGTCATGCAGCTATAAAATGGTTCTGTCTTTAGGAAAATAGTTGTGAATTTTCACTCTTTTAGCTACGTAGGGCGGCCAGTTATGAATCATCAAGAAGAGCGTATGTGTATCACCAAACAAAGAGGATGGCAGAAGATGAATCTTTCTATATGCTAATTTATGTGAGGATGCAAATTTAGAAATGATAATAATTTAAATAGGAATACGGTACATTTCACCATAGTGTGAAAAACTGATCTGTGAAGCTGCTCAGTCTGCTGTCCAGGTGCTGTTGATGGGCAACTTCTGATGGTTCATCTTTATACAGGATGTGGATTGAACAGTCCTTCAGAATACAGGGTAGTCCTCCAGCAGCCCTTCAAATAGAGGACTGTTTTCTGTAAAAGAGGACACATAGACACCCTAAGCTGAATTTCTTAGGTATTCTGGTTCTTAGGTTTATCTGGGGCCTTAGCCGCATTACAAACTAATACCAGCTTTTAAGTTGTATTTATTTATAAGTGAATTATTTACTTTTCAGACCAAATGGCACTTAGAATTAGAGCCTGTAACAATTAAAATGTTAAAATAGATTTCTATATGATGCATTATACTTTCTTAACTGCAAAGACTGCTTGGAAATATGTGGCCTTGTTCGCTGATGATAAGAAGTCACTTTGGGTGAATTTCCCTGGAAGGTTTCTTGTTCTGATGATGGCCACTATTTTAAATATTCAGGCTGGGATGGCTCTTACTATAGTTTGTTATTAACATGTGAACCCAGTGAAGGTAGGTGGTTTGGGTGCTTGAAAAGCCTGTTGGTCCTGGGTTAGATCTGTCATCAGCCACCCGAACAGCCTGTGCTTTCTGGGTTCACATCCTGGTACATTCCCAACAAAATTTGAATATTCAAAATAGTGGCCAATGTATGTGGGTGGCAGAAGGGAGGGAGAAGCCCTTGCAGTCACTTAAAGGGGTTCTCTGTATCACAGCTTATTTGAGCCTATTGCAGAAATGCATCTACACTCATTTTCTTAAAGATCCAAGTCTATAATAGTGAAATAGTGTTTTTACTCTTTTGATTCTAGGGTAAAAAACAAAACAAAACCCTATGTCGTGGGTAGACATTATATTATAGCACTGTATATTCAAGAGCTGCAAATTTGATAAGGTAATCTGCTTCTTCTCTTCTGTTACTCTTCACTTGGCAATTAGATTTAAGAAGCAGAATCCAGCTCCCTGATAAAAGTCATTATGTAAAACCCACGAATACATTCATATTGTGAATATTAGGGTCATCTTGTAAAAACTGCAAAACGAGCTTGGCAAATCATGGTTATTTTTGTTAGACCTTTACTTTAGCTACCCCCACCCCCCTAGCTTTGCAAGTTGCAAATGAATGAAATCGTGCAGTTTGCATTTCAGTGGAAAAAGATAAGCTTCTTCCTCCTCCCAGTGAAGAGAGAGAGAGAGAACATTATATTATTATAAATAATACTGAATAATGTCAGATCTTTTCAGAAGAAATATAAAAGTTATTTGTTACAGACATGCAGTCAAATTGTCTAGGAAGATTGTCTGCAAAAACAGTAGTAACATTTGTCAAATGACACATCATATTAAAGAAAATGGAAAAAAAGCAAAGGAAAAAGAAAGTGAGTGTGTGTGTGCGTGCATGCGTGAGTGCATGGTGGGGAACTAGAGATTTGGCCAAACATAAAAATAAGTGGGATGTGTCTCTTCTTGTAACCTAAATGTTTGTGATTGCCTGAGTGGTAATAGATAGGGAGGCAGAATTCAGGGTTTCCTTGGTTAATTTCTGCAGTCCTGCCAAGGTTCAGCCATACATATGGAAAGAGATGCTATGAGTATGCTAAGAGGACTGTTCCTTACTGTCTTGTCTTTTCTACCTTTTCGCACTCCCTCAGTCCTGTTCAGGAAAGCTGATATTTTCCAGAAATGGTAGCAGAACCATTCTTGTGGGCACTTGGCGTTG